CAGTATTTTTAGCAGTAATTCACAGAAACCTGGAGCTATTTTTTTTCTGGCATCAATGCAGTGCAAACTTACTGACATAATCCAAGTTGGAGAGTTCTGTTTCCCACTTAGAATGATATTTAATTTGACTCACAGACTTCCTTGAGCAGAGGCAAGACAGTTGCTACTGAAAGGTGAGAAATTGTCTGGAAAACAATGTTGTGTTATAATAAATGTGTTATCATTTAATCCTCTTTCAAACACAGTTCACATCAAACTGTATTTCTGAACTCTCAAAAGAGCTCAGGGTTCATTTAGGGTAAATGCAGCTGTATAACCCACATATTTGTTGTTCCACAGAACTCGCAGCCTGTCCTAAATTCAAATATATATATATATATAAATAAATAAATAATAAAAAGTCCTTAGAGTCTAGGAAAACTTCAAGAACTCTACCAGGATTTGCACTTGGGGACAGCTTCATTTGGTACAATGCTCAGCCCCTGGGCAAGAGGCTTTTCCAGCTGAGTAAAAAGCAAAGTAGAGAAGAAAAATCATCTTCTCACCTCGTAACTAGGCATTACAGCCAGCTTCAAATAGACTATTGTGGAACCATTAATATTCACAGATGGGAGAGTACTAAAGGAGGGTATATGGAATTCTTGCTCTTGAACTTGGTGATGCACGTACTACTATGAAACTCTAACTGAGAAAGATCTGAGGTATAAAGTGGATAAAATATTGTCTGAATGGGGTCTTGGCATTGCCTACAACAAAATCAATACTGTTAACTAATTCAGCAACTGACAGTGTACAAAATAAATTGTTTTAAAGCATGGATGATTTAATCCTGAAGAAAATTGTTTGTCATTGCATACAAATACTATAAGCATTATCTTAAAAACTCAACCACATCATAGGCATCTTTCAAAATACGAAAGTCAATTACAATGAGAATGTCCTTTCAAAATGAGACGTAAATTACAGTATTTTGCTGCATTAAACCATGAATCTTGTTGTTTCATTTATGTACTTCTGAAAATTCTCATTGTTTTCCATACTGCATTTTTAGACTTAAGCCAGTTGGATTCCAAATACTGATATACAGCATAGAGACTGAACAACATTCTGCCTGGAATGTTTAGAAATGAAGGCAAACAATGCATGTGATTGCAGGAAAAATGAATATTGAGAGATCTTAATACAACATTAGTAATCATCATATTAGTAATCATTAGTTACTATCTTAGAATAGTAACTTAGTATATTTGATTGTGCATCTGATCATATGTATACATTTTTCACATCTTCCTAAACTACTACAAATCCATGTGATACATAATGAAGGAAAAAAAAATAATAGTGGCTGTAGTGGCTGTTAGGCATAAATAAAATCTTTTTTTTTTTTTTTTTAGTAGAGAACTGTTTTCACACACACCGAATTTTTACAAGTTTAGCTGAAATTGTTTTAATTATATATTTGAAATTGATATGCTGTTTTAATTTAATGATGATAAACATACTGATTCAAGCTAAACAGTTGAGTAAAATAAAATTAATTAAATCAAAACATAAAGAATTCTTGGGGAAAAAAAAGTTTGAGGCTTTGATATCATGGCTGCATTCTGTAGTTTAACCTGATGCATCTTCATGTTCATCACTGTTTTGAGGTGCTAGTTTTGGCTAGGATTGAAAAAATCACAGCAAAAACTGCAGTGATAATTTGATGCTGCCACTACATATATACCACCAAGTATTTCCTGCTACCATCCTCACAGCTAAGCCAGGTTTTATGTTTATCCAATTCAGTACAAACCCAGGCACTTTTAATTACTTAATTACAGAGATATCCAGCTGCACTGTGGGATAGGCACATAGCTTTCATTTGACAGAAATTCTAAACAGAATAAAAATGATGCTGCTCAGCTACTGTTTCTGTGTTAGTCATACACGTATTAGTTTAATCTGTAGCAGCTACTCACTGCTTACTAGTCCTCTGGTAAAATATTGCTTTATCTGTAAAATTTGAGACAGCTTAAAGCATGTTTCAGGATTTCAGGAAAAGAAGGGAAATATATTTCTGTTGGTGTATTGCAGTGAAAGTAGATACCTCTCTATAGCTCTAAAAAGTCTTTTGAATATTAGTTTTCAGAGTGGAAACTTTCAGCCAAGTGAGAGATGCAGGCTGTCTAAATGCTGAATTACCATCGAAAGGACTCATGAACAAGAATGGAAATTAAAACAGAAATTTTACACTCTGAACTCTTAATTTCTGTAAAACTAACAACAGAAGAGAAGCAAGGATCAGACACACAGCAATTTAGGTCACTTATTGCTATCATTGGTACTAAACAGTTTAAATACCTGTTTCTTTTATAGACCACTATACCAGTATAATTTCCTCTTGGTAAGCAAAAGCACGCATGATATTTATGGGTAGTTTCCCCTCCATCAATGAGGGGCTTAGGATACTAAAATCTAGGGACTTGGACTGGACAAAAAATGATCATGCTTGGGATTTCCCTGTGCAGCTTTGCCAATTGCATTGTACATCTTCTTAGAAGACTCAGCAGTTTATTACCTACAGAATAATCGATCTCATCATGATGTGGGAGAAATCAAGCTTTATTAAAATTTATTTATTTATTGTTTTACCAAAAGTTGTATCATACAGGCTGAATGATGAGACCAGAAAGAGTACTGTGGGTTACCTACACCACCAAATTCATTATTCCTGTGGACTTTGCATTATTGTTTTTAAGGACTGCACTCTTGGACAACAGTTGTTTCAAAAACCAAAGCACTTTATGGAAACATCCTAAATCAGTGATATTCTTAAAGCTGATACTTTCTGTTGCTATCTATTTCAATACCAGTAAAGGACTGAATGTCACCAATACCATTCTCACACTGAAGCAACAGCTCCTACTGAATTGTCATGTTTAAACTTGGAAATTTTACATTCATGAATTTTATGTTCAAATATCAGTTTTCACTTAATGGGTTTAAAATTAGATTGTTACCCAATGTGTGCATGCTCTGTGGAGCAGAAGGTCTCATAAAAAAGAAAAAAAAAAGAAGAAAAAAAAACCACTCAGATGTTTACATCAGTGAGGTATTCAGCCAGAGACCAATTTCTGAAGGTGGATTACCATTTGGAGTCCGTACCGGTAGCAGTTTCCCTGGCTAGTAGACCAGTTTTTCTCCCACATTCATCATCATTTAGAAAAGCAGAAGTCAGTTTCTGTGGTTAAGAGTTCCTCAATATTTCAGTTTTTTCTCACAGCTGCACTGAGACAGTGGTTATCCCAACGTGTTTCCTGTTACAAATACAAAATTTATTCAGATAGCTTTCTTCTTTACGGTGAAGCAATATTCCAATGCCATGAGAGTTCTGCAGCTTTAAATGCCCAAAATGCCAGAACTGGTAGGAGCCAACACTGCTGCTGCATCCGTGACACCATCCAGTGGCAGACAGCAGTGTGCTCCAAACACCCTGCCTCGCCTCCCCAGAGCTCAGACCACGCCACCCACACTTCCTCATGGCTTGAGCACAGCAAAAAGGGAACTGGTGATGACCACACTCTGTGTGTCTGCCCTTGTCATGGCTAAATGCCAAGAAAAGCTGTTGTCTGTGAGAGCAGTGCAGCTGCCAGAAGTCAGGAAACAGGCGGTGACAATATTGGAGCTCACATTGCTCACCCTGCAGCAAACAGAGCAATGCCCTGTCCATAGATTGCATGTGAGCTACCACCAGGGTGACACTGTCTCAAAATGGATCACTTCTACATTATTCCACTACTAACAAGGTCAGACGAGATGAAGAAAGAGGAAAATTATACATGTATGAGGAAAATTATCTCTGCCACTGATTCCTGTATGCACTAATACTTGATACTGAACCAGTATCAGTACTCTGAAGGACCCATACTGCTGCCTAGGGCTTCCATATTTCCACTGGAAGGTCCAAATTAAGAAACATACTTCTTACCTTCTGAATTTAAATTTTCAAGTGAGAAATGATGAACATCATACACAGCTGTTTTTTTTTTGTTTGTTTGTTCATTTGTTTGTTTTTGCATAGTGTTGTGGTTTAACCTATTAGGCAGCTAAGCACCACGCAGCCATTTGCTTACCCTCCTCCCTCCCTCTGTGGGATGGGGGAGAGAATCAGGAAAAAGAAAAAGAAAAAAAAAAAAAAAAGGAAAGAAAGCCTGTAGGTTGAGATAAAGACAGTTTATTTGGAGAGAGGAAAAAAAAAAAAAAAAGAAGAAGAAAAAAAAGGAAAATAATAATAATGATGATAAGAGTATTAATACCACTAATGTGTACAAAACAAGTGATGCACAATGCAATTGCTCACCACCTGCTGAACGATGCCCAGAAAGAAAGAAAATTATCTCTAAGCTACACATGGCTCTGTAAAAGGAGTCTAGATAAACTATACTAAAATTCTTTTCGAGTCCAAGCCGAAAAGTGTTGAGAAAACCCCAACACAGAACGTAAAACTTTGGAGTACTGGCTCAATAGTCATGATGTCAATTGGATTTCTGGTTTTCACATTTCTATTTTCACATTAGCCTGCAACTATTATCATCATAATATACAACACCTTTTTTTCCAGCTACTTCATAAAGTTTTGCATTAAAAGTCAGCTGCTTTCCTTGCATGACCATGTGTTTTTGTTTTTGTTTTTGTTTTTGTTTTTTGAGAATGGAAAAGAGGAATCTGAGTATAACATTTTCTCATGTTTGAAAGTGAGCAGCTTAATGGCTGCTGTGATATCAAAGTTCCAACACATTGACTTAATAGTACAATATTGCTGACCTGCAATTTATGTACTACAGTAGCCTGCAATCCCAGAAAGTCCAAAATTGCCACAAAATCATATTTTTCACACCAGCAGAAATAATCACAGACATTTTATTATCAATAATAAATGTATCAAGCTCATATGTCTGCATTTCTTATGTAACACAGAAAACACTAAGATCAAGGACATGTATGCATCCTACATTCAGCATTTTTATGTCTTTGACAGTGAATGTCGTAGCAATATTGCAGGAGTTCTGGGAAAGCAAACAGAAGCAGAAGGCCATATTCCCAAGTGAAGGCATCATTGTGTATGAATCACTGAGCTCCCTGGGCCCACCATTTGTGAGCTATGTTACCTTGCCGGGAGGAAGTTGCTTTGGTAACTTTCAGGTAAGTGTCAGCTTCCAATCTTTGCCAGGGGAATTTTATCTATTTATTTATATATTTATTCAGGAAAATTCTTTTGCCATAAAAGATACAGGACAACTACTTCTGTAACAATGAATTCCACACTTGACTTTTCCAAACTCATTCTGTCCCAGCCCTCACCGATTTAAGAGACAAGGTACCTGAAGGAAAACAACACAGAGTTCTAGGAATTAATTGAGTACGGAATGATTTTACCAGTCTTGTCTCTGGTTTCCAGTCATATCTACAACAAAGTGAAACATTATGAGTAACTCAAGCATTTCTGTCAGTTGAATCTAAGACCAAGGCGTTTGTAGTTTCTCTCCTTCAGAAAACAGTAATATCTTTTACGGTGGAGAAATAGCTTAGTATTTTATTTTATTTTATTTTATTTTTATTTTATTTTATTTTTATTTTATTTTATTTTATTTTATTTTATTTTATTTTATTTTATTTTATTTTATTTTATTTTATTTTATTTTATTTTATTTATTATTAAATGGGAAGGTATTTCTCACCATAATGTAATATGCAGCATCCAACCCATACTAAAGCTGTGCTAAAATATACAGAACAGGGATCAAAACTAACCAGATACAGATCAAATTTCAATTTCAGTGAAATAACAACTGAAGCTAAATTTGACACCTTCAGTCTCCAGAAGGAGGAAGGTTGTCTTGTAAAGCACTCTATCCTCTATCTTCCTTTCAGTAAATAACAATAGCTTAAACTTTCGCTCCATCAGTATTGACACTATGAAACACCTACTTACTATGCAGGAATTAGGCCTGCACAGAAGGTCTCAGAATAGCAGTTGAAGAACAATCTTCAACAAACAAATATTGGACACAGGATTAGCATTCTTCCCAGAACATCAGTTGCAATTTTAGTAAACTACATCCAAGCCCTGCTTTTTCACTAGGAAATAACAGCCTTTTCATGGACTCTTCTGAACATTCCAGGACTATTTTTCCTAATGATTCAGCCCTCACTATGAAACTGTTGGAAGTACAGTTCAGAGTTGCTCCTAGAACTTCCTGAATACCAAACATTTCAGGAACATGTGATGACACCAAAGCAAGATAATTTTGACATTATAGTCTTTAAACTGTGATGCAAGAAAGGAAAACAGCATTTTTAATTTTTTTTTTTTTTACAATTTTGCTCTTTGCTAAAATCTTACTCTGCCTTCTGTGTCATTGACTTTATACATATTTTTCCAACCTTTTATCAAGACCTGCTCCCTCCTTTTTTCTTTTTCTTTCTTTTTTTCCTTAAAAAAATATATATAAATAAAATAAAATAAAATTGAACATGTTCCCTGTGCTGAATCAGGTATTTCTGTTATATAGCTGCACTGTTACATTCAGTCAGGAATACACTTCAGAAGCATCTGACTGATAAAGAAGCTGAGGCAAGCCACCTTGACAGTGCAGTTCCCATGATAATCTGTTGCAGACAGACATTAAGAGATTGGTCCTATTCATGCGTTCAGGAAAAAAAAGAAAAAAAAATATATATATATATACATATATATAATTAATATATAATATATGGAGCATACAGAGGGGTCTCACTGAAAATGTCTCAAAAAAGACATGTACTGAATAGGTTTAGAACAATTTAGTAATGAATTGCCAATATCTTAATTTAGAGGTATAATATATTTCAGTGTCCAGATCACTTAAAAGCTACTGTAGTTATATTTACGACACCACTAAATAATGGTAAGCAACACAACGCAGGACAAAATACAAATGTCCCTGCTTCAGTCTTGTTTCAAATAATCCTTAAAATAATAATGTTCTGAATCCTTATCCCAAATCCTTATCTTGCCTAAAGACAAGCAGATATGTATTACATTATATACTTCATGGTACTTCACAGTCAAAAAAAATGTTCATTTGCTTAGATCTTTTAAGGATTTACTCTCCCATTTTTGTTCTGGGTACTTAATATCAGGAATCAGATACCACGACTAACTCTGAAAACTGCAATAATTTTCACTTATGACAAAGGGACCAACATAAGGCCCATCTAATCGGCCTCTGGCTCCCCTCTTTCTGAACTCAGGCATCAAGCTGCTCATGGTTTTAGCATATGTTTTTGTTTTTAATACCAAAGGGAAATATGCCGAATATTTTGACTTTATAAATGCAATGAAAAGGGTTTGAAAGTCAAGCCTAGCTTTCATCTTTGCAAGTGAGATCATCTACAGCAATGAATTCTTTTGAACAATTGGTTTGTAGCTCACCAAGGATAGAAGCACTAAACATTCCCTGAACTGGTCATTCAAATATCAAATTATTGTTTTCTCATGTACTTGATGGCATTTCTCTGCTACTATTAATCAAAATTAGCTTTAGAGGGAAAGATTATATCTTTTATTAGACTAGGAAATATGGTTGAGAGCAAAAAATAAAAATTACAAGATTTTGAGTGCATTAGCACTTTTTTGAATCTGAAGGACTTGAGTACACACGGGTGTATGCAACTAAAATCTCATCCTTTTTTTTCTACTTTAATGGAAGTTTAACTGATTAAATAGGTCACTACCTAGTGAATATTCCCTCAATTACATCCGTATATTTTTCTCACAACAATATTAATACTACCAAAAGTACTACAAGTTTAAAGTAGAACTGCAAGCACTACTTTCACTAAAAGTAAAAAGTACACAAGCTTCAAAATGTATGTAATGGGAGTAGTCATTGGTGACATTCATGGTGGTACTTTCAGCCCTTAATCAACAATTTGTGGTGTGAAGAAAATGGTCATAGCTAAATACAGTTTAAGAGATGTAGAATAAACGTCCCAGACAGATATCTGAGACAACATATTATTCTTTAACTTGAATATTGTTTTGAGCTTCCCACAAAGTATAACAAAAGTCTCTGTGACAGTGTCACATTTTTCAGCTTCACAACCAGGAGGCTAAGAAAGTCACCTTTTATTTAACTGTCTTTTAAAGAAAATCCAAGGCTGTATTATCTTCTCAAATACTAACTCTTCAACAAGATGTATTATGCATGCCTCTGCATTATTTTAAATTTGCTTGTCCACTTTTGCGACAACATAAATAGTTTTGCACCGAAACTAGAATATGAGTCTGGAACACGGCTTCCTATGTCTTCATCAGTACAAAGAAAAAAAAAAAAAAAAAAAAAAAAAAAAAAGAAGGGCAATAAAAAAGCCAGGTAAATCCATAAAAAGCCAGGTAAATCCATAAAGCTCCAGTGCTCTCCTTCCCTCCCCAGCTCCAGGTTACAAGTTTTTTTGTTTTTTTGTTTTTTTTCCTGAAATTTACCTTCATAAAGGTATGACTAAGAAAATAAATAAATAAATATTAATAATGATAATAAAAAACACCTTTTTGTGCAGCGATGTCACTAGTTAAGGTCTCAGTTCAATTCTTATTAAGGGGCCAGAAAACAGCCATTTAAAATCAATGAGTACTGTCTCCCTGATCTTAAAGGTTTGAATAATTCAGTAGATGTTTCAATGTTTTTTTCATGTGTATAAATAAGACAGCAAATATGGGGCATGAGGAAACAGATAGCATAAATAGTGTAGTATTTGTTGCCAGTATTGCCTGCAGTCAGCAAGGACCAATTAGGCTCTCTCACTGTGCAGCAATACACATTTGATGTTTGTTACAACTTGCTGTCCAAAAGAATTACATGAGGCACAAGTCAAGGTGAGGCTAGTGTCTAAACTCTGACACCACAGCACTACAAATGGACAAGGAAAATGTTCGTTTTCCTAAAGTGGCTGGCTCATATTAACGATCGGGTAAAGAGGCCTTGAAACCTTCCCTCACTGCTGCCATAACAGTGCCAGCAGATACTTGTGTGGGCTTTCAGCTGCCTCAACTACCAAGCTGTCCAAGATAGCTGAAGTAGTATTTTGGAGCTGCAGCAGTTCCTGTCCTGGATGTCAGGCTTAGGAAAGACAGCAGCAGAGCAGGAGGGACTTCCTTTTTGCCACTAAGGACAAGCGGGACTCCTTTTATTCATCCAGGTGGACACAGCTGGATAGCCAGCCCCTAGAAACATAGGGAGTCACTAGAAAGACTATTGAAGTCTTTCTAGTAGGTAGTCTTTCTGAAGGTAGGAAGCTTCACAGAGGGCAGGGGAAGTCTTCTGGGTCTGAAACATTAGGCCCAATGTTTTGGTGTAAATGATTGTTTCACACACTTTATTGTATAATGTCAGTTTTTTAACCTCCCTTTACAGGCCTTTTCCTCTTTTCTCCAGAATGGTTGAGGTTGGAAGGGACCGTCTGATCCAACTTCTGATCAAGAAGGCCCACCAAGAGCAGGTTGCCCAGGACCATGTCCAGGCAACTTTTGAATATCTCTGTACCTCTCTGGGAAACCTATGCCACTACTTGGAAACCTGCACGGTTGAGAAGTGCTTGTGTTCCAGACCGTGACCACTACCTCTTGTCCTGGTGCTGGGCACCACTGACAAGAGCCTGGCTCTGTCTGCTTTACACCCTCCCACCACCTTCCCACTGAGCCTCATCTTCTCCAGACTGAGCAGTCCCCAAACTTGTTTCACTGGTTACAGGGATGATGCTTCAGTGTTTCATGTCCTGGCAGGCACCCAACAGGAGAGGAGACAGCCAGGAGGTACCCGTTTTTGACTGTGATCCTCTAGGGTGATTTCAGGTCTTGCTGTGATTGGCAGCAGGAGGCAGGTTTTATCACGGTGCCCCGGCAGCACAGCAGCAGTCTGCATGGAGCTGTCATGGGATTAGACAAAGCCAGAGCTGACTTGTGCACCTTGCACGTGCTCACATTGCGGGGGGTAACTGACCAGCAAAAGTGCATTTTACATACACAGAGTTTGGCCAGTAGCATTCGTGCTTACAGCACCATGGCGTATGGGAGGTAAACTTGCTGTTTGAGACAGATAGCGATTATCCAAGTAGAAACAGGTTATAATGAAACATTCATGCTTTTTGAATATGCTCACCTACTGAGAACAAAACTATCATCTTTAAGCTAAATGTTACGTTCCTTGTTTTCTGCTTTTCAGAAGCACTGTGATGTACCTGCTTCATTGTGTCTTGTTCATGGCCAGCTGTATTAGCCCAGTCAGCGTCATCTTTTCCCTGTGGGGACCGAGGCTAAGGCTTCTTTATCCCTTTTCAGCTGCAAATATCAAAAGTCCCTAAAAAACAGCATGTAAGAGTGGGCATGACTATCAATATTTCAGTTTGTGTTACACCATAACATCACAGAAGAAATGTCCCCTACCCTATCTTTCCTGGAGGCTGAAGCTCCTGAAGAGCTAGACCACTGGTATGGCTGGCTGTGAGATCTTTGCTGCATTTTCCACCACAGCTTCAGCTTTGGATAATGCAACACTTCTTTGTAAAACTGAGCCAAAGAGTCACTGAAATCTTTGCCCTCTGAGAAAATATATTAAGATTTTACCATTTTATTCCCCAGCAAAAATGAGCTCTAATCAGTTTCATCCTTTTAGGACTGAGAAGATAATATATAAATTAAAGGAAAAAAAAAAAAAATCACAGAGAAATGTCATATGTCATCACTTTAAAGTATAATCTCCATTTTTGTATTCGTTCTTATATATCCCATTAAATTTAGTAAATTTTAAGGTTTTTTTTTTTTTCTTTTTTTTCACTTCTTATAGATTTGTAAATCTCTTGATCTCTCAAGACTTACCATTTGCCTATAAACGTATGCAGACTGCTCTGCTGGTCTTACTTAAAAGTGAATAGTATTCTTTTATCTGTCATTTTACTAGTTTTCATCTGCACAAAGATGGTTTAAATCCAAATTCTTTGGCTTGCTTTGTATTATAACATTTATTATTGAAATCACATAAATCCAAGTTCTGTTCTCAGATTTTAGTAAAAAAGAGTCATGTGCAACCTGCAAGAGAATCTTTAAGCATAATGAAAGAAAAATACAGTGATGAAAGACTTGACCTGGGCATCTTCAAACAGCTATAAAAGCATTAGATATTTTGCACATTCAAGGAGACAGCAGCTTCTGAGACAGCATGATAGAAATAAAATAAAATAAAATAAAATATAAAATAAAATAAAATAAAATAAAATAAAATAAAATAAAATAAAATAAAATAAAATAAAATAAAACTCAATTTCCTTCCAGAAATCATTTTTTTGTGAACAAACTTGTAAAAATATTATTTTAAATGGGAGGTTAAAATGGTTTTCTTTAAAATTAAAAAAATATATATATTTTGCCCTAAAATAGAACAAGCATTTTAAACTTTACCGTTCAGAGTATTACACTTCTATTTTCACTGCATATAATACAATTAGCAGTTTGTTTGATGGAAACCAGTTATTACATCATAATTAGAAGCCTCCCAGTATTAAGGGAATACAGTGCATTCACACCATTTATTAAAGTGGATAGAAGCAATCCAGCAGAATTAAAGAAAAAGTGTTAGCTACTGAATATGTTAAGGCCTGGAGGAATAAATAAAAAAAAAAATAAAAATCTTGTAGAAGAATCTGTGAGTATTGTTGTAACTGAACACAAAAGAGTATGCAGTTTATCATTTCAAGTATTGCAAATGAAAATGGATAATTAGTTGATGTATTAATTAAAGTAAGATAAAGTCTCCAAGTACAGCACAGCTTGCCAGTCATGAAGAAAGTTAAACACTGGAATTGTAAAGGTGTTAATCAGTGTTTCTTGCCATCTGAAATATATTCAGGTATTTTTTAAAGATTGCCTTCCTTCATGTCTAACAAAAATCTATTCAGCACATCTTTACAAAGATGGCTTTGGTCTTGATAACCATGGCAGGTTCTGATTTCCCCTGTTCTTTGAGTCCATGCATAATATAGTAGAGGAACACAATCACACAGTGACTTAATCATACCATAATACTTCATTTCTATATTAAGACAATTGAAATCAAATGTCAATTAGTTGTTTTGAAATACCAGGAAATTGTGTTATAATTATAATTATTACAGCAAAATATAATATTTTTCTCACTCCATTCCCAAATGAATTATTGTGTATACATGCAGCTGGTGGGGTGGAGAGGCAGCAGCTGGAAGAATGGACAAATCAGATATCTAGAGTGACTGCTTTTCATTGCAGCATCAGAGAAGGGCCCTGTCTGGGACTGATTCACCAGCCAGGACAGAGCAGTAACTTAAAACAGCACAGAGCATCTGCACTCTGCTCTCCATCTTGAGTGCCTTAATTGCATGTTCAGGTCTATACTGCTTCCCAGATTTGAGATTCCAGAAAAGTTTCACCCTTTGGTCAGGTTAACATAAATCTTTGAAGGCTTTTTTAAGCCTGCCTGAAAGCCCAGGGTGCAGTTTCATATGGATTTAGTTCACATAAGCCATTCCCTGTAGTTGCTGAGACTCTTTTGAGACTCTGAGGTATTTTTGGTACTTTGGTTTTTACTTTTCTGTATCCATGAACACAATTCAGTCTTGTAAAAGCTGTGACATAATTAAAGACTTGGGCTTGATGTAGGGTATGTGAGAGTCCTGGTGACATATGTAATACAAGAGGTTGGGCAGGATGAAGTGGGGACGTCATCTGACTTTAGACTCCACAAAACTAAACTAGCAGTGTGACACTTTGTCCAGGTCACCCCACAGAGTTCATGTTTAAGAATTTCCCCTACCTCCTAAGTGAAAAAACCCTAAACTTATTAAAATTATGAACGCATTGTTTGCTTGTTGAAAAAGCTAAGAATTGTTCATAACTTTTTACAAAAACAAAGCAATTTAACATGAGCTGGAGCTTCTGAAGATTAGACTTACATGTAATTAGTGAGTAGCCCCCTGTAAGCTGTGCAAGGACAGCAGCTACCAGCAGCTGGTAGCACAAGCAACTGCCAGCTTAAGCAGCTCTGCAGCAAGGTGGAATGAACAACAGTGGGTGACAACCTTGTTTCAAGTTGTCCTTTCCAGTGGTCAAACCTTCTCAAAATTCCTCACAGTATATTTGGTTTAAAAGAAATGAAGCACAGAACCAGCAAGAAATTCACTGTCATTCTACTTTACGGATGGCAAATCAGACCCTTGTTTTGAAGGAAAACATAATAAAATAAAATAAAATAAAATAAAATAAAATAAAATAAAATAAAATAAAATAAAATAAAATAAAATAAAATAAAATAAAATAAAATAAAATAAAATAAAATAATAAAATATATTTTCACTGGAACATTTTTTATTTTTTGAACTTTATTTCATTCCCAACTTGGCCTTTGCTAGAAAGTTTGATAAGCAGTAAATGAATGCAATAACCATTTCAATAACTATTTGAAAATTCAATTAAAAGCTTACCAAAATTATAGAATTTTATAAAATTCTTTTTTACTTAATCCAATAAATTTTATGAAAACTTGTGATAAAGGTCTTTTCTGGTTGAAGTATTGGTTTTCAGAAGTCAGATTTTGTGAGAAAAGCAATTAATAAATAATAGAATATAATATAAATCTTTTTTATTATTATTTATTTATCTTTGTGGTATTGAAAGGCAAAAAAACACACATAAATGTAATGGGAAATACAGGCTTCACCTGAGATCTGCAAAATTATTTATGTGCTTTTTCAGAGCTGCTTAAGCAGAGCAGAAGCAAGGCGAGATGCTGCAAAAGTGGCTCTCATCAACTCTCTCTTCAACGAACTTCCCTGTCGCAGGATCACAAAGGAATTCATCATAGAAAGTGTTCGGGAGGCTGTTTCCTCAACCAGTGTAAGTACTAAACAAAACAAAACAAAAAAAATAAATCAGGGGAGAAAAAGTGAGTGAACATAAGTATGATTCTGTAGATCATCAAATCAAAGCTTCATGTAGCCTACTATCTCTCCTCTACCATTGACCAACAGATAGCACATGTGAACAATGTTAATGAATGAAATATACATGATTATTATTCTCCAAAACTAGTGGATTTTTCACCAGCCAACAAATAAGCTTTTAGTGATTTTTTTTCACCTTCATGGTAGTAAAGATTGTCCAAGTCAATTTTATACTTAGTATAGTGGTATTAAAACATCATTTTTGAAAAGCTGTTTTAGTCCGTAAAGTCTGATCATGATTTGTTTTCTCTAGTATGCCTGGATAAAATATTTGCAGTTCAGAACACTACAATGTAGCAAATATCATCTGAGGCTATTAGAAATCTTTTAAAATGAAAATACTGATTTGCTAAAAGGCATGTATCATAGATTAAGGAAAGATTAACTGAATTTCCTTGTGTTTGCAGAAGACATTTCTGCTAGTAAGTGTGGAAACGATATTTAAAATTTTAGAAACATCGCTATTGTATTTTGTGACATGATCTGTAGTGTTCACCTTCTGAGCAGAAAGTGCTGTAGTCCCTCATGAGATGTATTTGGGGAACAATGTAGAAACAGATGAGTGTAAGGAGGTCTGGTCTGTATCTGTTTTACAGATGAAAGAATGGTTTTCTTTTCCAGTATTGTGAATTTTATACATTTTAGAGGGACAAAAATCCATAAAAGTTAGGAAAAATAGAGCATGATTTATTTGCGTATGCAATTTAAAGGGAGTTTTGATTCAAGTAATTTATCATTTTTTTATGGAAATTTTTGAGGTAAAAGGTTATATGCTTCACAGAGTTCTGCTTGGATTTCCTTAGGGATATTTAAAAGCCAGCATAAATATTGCAGCAGTGGTGTGTTAACACTACAGCATCCAAAAGCCATAAATTTACTTGCAGTTCAGTGGAACCATATTGGGTAGAAATCTGTTTAACTTTCTGAAGTTGCCATTGAACACCTGGGGTTATGCAAAGGAATCTGTCCAAAATTATCTCATTCCTTTTTCTAGGTTTTTCCCTGCAAAAGAGAGGAGAGAGAATGAATTTAAGTGAAACTCAGCCCCTTGCTCTACCTGGCTAATTTATGCAGCTTTTGAATTTTACCAAAAAATTAAATGTAGAACTATGGACCATGTCATCATGCTTCATCAATATGGTCATAGAGATACTTTATTAAATGTATTCATTCCATAGACTTACATTATGAGATGCGAGACCTACTCAGCATTTGGGTACTAGTAATGAGAATTTCTTAAATGCCTGAAACTAGAAAGAACTGATTTAACTGAAGGGGCATTTTATTGATTCACCTCAAACAGTTATTCTTAGGTATAGATGGATGAGCAACAGTACCAGAGAGATTAGTAAATCCTGGAGCCAGGAGATGGCTCTCCTATCAACAGAGCACTGGGGCTGCAAAGATGAGTTAAAGGGCAGCAGGGCATTAACATAAGAATATAATGTACTGCTGAGCCACCAATCACTGTCAGTTTATTTCAGAAGTGCTCAGGAGGGATGCTGCTTTGGTTTATAAGAAAACCAAGAATGGCTTCAAAAATCTAGACGCTCATTATAGTCCCATTACAGTCAATTTATGTTAGAGCTGTCAAAGCAAGAGAGTATTTTATCTTTTTGACTAAGGAGGGAAAAACAAGTCTGGACAGAGCAATAACAAATTGTTTCCCTTTATTTTCTGCATCTCCTCCTTCACCAGTCTTGTATTTCCTTCTGTCTTTACACCTGGTATAGGCCTTTGTAAGAGCTCCGGGATGACCAGCTACCTCACCTATACAATTTTTTTTTTTTTTTTGGAGAGAAATTAAAACTTCCTAGTAGCATTTTTTCTCCCAAAATTATGTCTTCTTTACAATAATGCCATCTTTTTGGGGGAGGTAGAAATAATCAGACTAGTGGCATCCTGGCTAGATAGAAGGAAAAGAACTATTGAGCAGGTAGTGTGAAAATCACAACCCAAAGGAAGGGCACATCAGATAAATATATATGATATAAATATACACACACACACACACACACACACACACATATATATATATAATATGTATATATATATACACACACGTATATATAATATATATGATTTACATATATCAGCAGAAAAAATATTTAAGGGACAGTAGAAGCTGCATGGGAGGCTAGCTAGGAAAGCCTCTGGAATGCTAAATGCATACTGCAAAGTAAATATTAAAGCATTTATGATTAATCTCACAACTCCTTTCCTCCTACCAGTGACCAACAGGTCATTAGGCACTTTAGTACTCTGATTTGCTGTCACTCTGGGAAGACCCAGAAACACATAAAGGCATTGAAATCTCCAATGCTAAATTTGTCAGCGTTTAAGGAGAAAGAAAACAGGACTTACCAGTTGCTAGGGTCATTTCACAGTAATCAGATGATACACAAAACACTAGTGAAAATAATAACATCCAAGGTAACTATGATTTACAAAAACAGATTCCCAAACTGTTTGCTGGGGAAAGGAATGGAGGGGCATTAAAAATGTCTCAGGATTGCAATAATAAAACATGTTAACTATGATATAAAATAAATACCATATATAAGTATAAATACATATATATATATATATATAAGTATAAATACATATATATATATATAATTTATATTTTATAAATAAAATATAAAAGCAGTTAACTATAAGTTAAAACATAACTATAAAATATGCATCACATCAAAAAGCAACCACTTGCCTTCTAACCACATTCTCTTGTTTCTTCCCTCAGGGTAACCTAAAGGATGCTGATGACCCCAGCACTAGTATTGGAGCCTATCATTACATGCTAGAATCAAACATTGGAAAGACAATGCTGGAATTTCAGGTATCAGAATAACAGTGCGGCTTCTGCATCATTCACAGCTGAATGAAGCAACTTAATTTCATTACTAATATCTAACAGAATGATAAAATGCCCTCCTTTATTCCACATCCCAATTAAAAACATGAAGATAAATCTAAATAACTTGAGAAAATACTCTGAACACTATCCTTATACTGGACTTACACTGGACTGGTGCATTCTAGTGAGAGAGCACCTGACTTCCTGCACTGGAACTTGAAAGAAAACCTAGACGTACAGTACTGAACATGGGTGAATAAATTGTCACACAGTGCCTAATGTAGCATCTAAGTGCAAATATTCTTGTAATTCTGGTCATTTCAATGGAATGTTGACCACTTCTAATACTCTGTCAGAGCTTTTTCAAAATTTTACACCAATTGAAAAAACTTTTCAGATTTGAAAAAACACTCCAGAAAAGACAATCAAGACAATATCAAAATATCAATATCTAATATCAAGACAATAACAAAATCTCCAGTTGCTTTTCTGCAACATTCTAAGTTAACCAAACTGTACATAAAACCTCCATCCACAAACAGTTATTTCATATAGGTGCCAGTGTAGGTACATATTTCTGTGTTTGCTTTTCCTCCATTTGATGAAATATGAATTGTGGTGATGTCATATAAACCTTAAACAGCCTGCAGTATACTGTAAAGTTTTGCTTGAGGTTAACAAATAACACAAGTTAACTGGAAATAGGTGCTATGTTGTGGGGGCCATTCTGCTTCACCTTACTGCTGCAAGCAAGACACAGCCACACACATTTTTCAAATGAGTGGAGAGTGGGAGCAAATTTGGGAAAATAGTATGAATATTCCTAGAGCGTGCCCATTTTGAACTGCATGTTTCCAGAAGCCTCTGCATTCTGGCTGAGTTATAAGTAACATCTCATTGTGTCATATCTAACCCAGAGTGAAAAATGTCATCAAAGGAAAAGCTGCCCTATTTATTTAATATCATAAATAATGATACTGCAGTGGAAGTAGTAAACTTTCAGGAGAGTTGCTGTGGCTTAAGTTACATCCTTAAGATGTCCAATCTTACCCCTTTGCCTGTTCCCAAGATGCACTTCATGCAGGGATGGAAGCCAACAGGAGATATAACTTTAAAAAAATCAGGCCTTGAGAAAGAACACACTCAAAACACAACAACATTTAAAGGAGTAAGATGCTGTGGCCTACAAGAAGAGAGTTTTGTGAAAGAAAATATGTTTATAAATCCAAATCCAAAGTTATCCTTAATAAACTTGAGAGTCTTTTCCTCACCACTTTGATAAGTAAGACAAAAAGATCTGAGTGACTCATGGTGAGTGACTCATGGTGAATGGAGTTAAATCCATTTGGAGGCCAGTCACTGTTGGTGTCCCCCAAGGTTCAGTAGTGGTGTCAGTGCTCTTCAATACCTTTATCAATGGTCTGGACGAGGGGATCCAGAGCACCCTCAGTAATTTTGCAGATGACACCACATCACAATGAAGGTTAGGAAGTAGGTAATTTAAAGCTCTAAATACCACAGCACTATGACTACAGACAAGGTTGTAGTGGTCACCTAAAAGTGAGTAAAAGCTTCTTTGTAGATCAATCTTAAACCTATATTGCTTAGCATATGATTATGTGTGGCCATTGTGCATGCCTGCAAGTAATTGCATTCCTGGAAACCTCACAAGTTTCACAGCAGGCCCCTGAATGTATACAGTTGTTTAAAGCTTCCAATGTGGAAAGAGGAGGTGTCTCCCTTTTTGATTCAGGATCCTCAGGGAGAACCTTCCTTTGCATGTGCAATGCCGCATGCTTGGCAGTCAAGTTTTTTAATTGATGGCACATCCCACAATATGTGTGAAAACATAACAGCCTACTCAGACATAGGAGATCTAAACCCCGAAGACTTAACCGTCTCAGAGATAAATCCCCCAGTTTTACGTATTTACATCCCCCACCCCCACCACCAAATTTGGTTTTTCAGTGCTGAGCTGTGCTGCCTGTTTGATTCCTCCACAGTCCTAGGAGGGTAGCATAAGACTTAGTAGCATGGTTTAGTGGTGGACTTGTCAGTACGAGGTTAAAGCTTGGACTAGATGATCTTGGAGGTCTTTTCCAACCTGAATGACTCTATGATTCCATGATTTTTAGTACTCGCATCAAAAGAAGAAAATCTAGTTTTCAGCTCCCTGGCTATAAGAATTTCATTATAACTTCTAATGGGATTTGGATTAATTTTGTTCCTTTATATCATCATCTTTAAATACCAAACCTGCTCTGTTTCTTCTTTCTCTGAAGTAAAAAGGTGTGTTTTTTGAAAATTTAATCCATAATCAGTATGCTCCCATTTTGCAGGAGTTGATGATTGTCTTTCAGCTTCTGCATTGGAATGGAAGCCTTAAAGCCCTACGTGAAACAAAGTGCTCCCGGCAGGTATGACAGAACTAGCATCTAAAAGTTGGCTGTGTGAGTGGGTAACTACCCGAGGTTAAAATATGTAAATATATATATTTTTTTTGAAGTTCTGAATTAAAGTATTTTTACCTTATTTTGATATAAACAGGACTTCAGACAAAGCTAAATTTTAAAATGCATTTATGTCTTCTGTATTTGTCCCTTGTTATCACTTCAAGAAGCCATAGGCTATTTCTCAGTTTTATCTATCAAGAGGCAGGTTGAAAATTCACTTGAGAAAAACTGTTACCCCAGCATGGTTTGATATCTATTTTTGTGAAAACTTTGGGAAATGCATTAGATTGAAAATTTTCAAGACATTTTTTAACTTACGAAATTAAGTTTTGTTCTGTATTGTAATCTACAGAAAAAAAGTATGCATTCTGAGTTTTCCAAAGGGGAGGAAATTACTTTTAGCATTTAAAAAGTTACCTTTCTTCAAGAAATGTCATCATAGGCAAATTTAGTTCCATCCTGACATTTAAGACTCTTATAAAGAAATCTAATATTTGATGGACGTTTTATTCCCTTTTAGTGATCAGCTTATGAAAGATGTATAGAATGTTACAAAAGGATTGCTGTGTAATTTTTGTCCAGAGCTGAATTTTTCTTGAGGAAACAGTTGGGTAAAATAATAATAATAATAATAACAACAACAACAATAATAATTTGTAACTGACTTCCATATCTGTTGTCACTTTCCTGAATAATAGGAAGTAATTTCCTACTACTCCCAGTATTCCTTGGATGAAAAGATGAGAAGTCACATGGCCCTGGACTGGATTACGAAGGAACAAGAATCTCCAGGAATTATTTCCCAAGAGCTGCAAGTGGCTCTTAGGGAACTGGAGGAAGTCAGGAAAGCTGGGCAAGAACTGAGGTTCTACAAAGAAAAGAAAGAAATACTGAGCTTAGCACTGAGTCAGATCTACAGTGATCAGGTTACCACTTCTTCATGGGACGATCAAATGAGCTTGGCCCTACATGGCTATCAGTAACCTTGAAGAAGGTGTTTGACTTCAAACTGTAACATATTTGTCTAGGTTGAAAATATCCCATATGTAAATTGGTAACATTCTTTCCCATGGATGTTTTAATTTCTGTACCTAAAAGCACTGATGTCCTTTTCATTTCTACTTGGTGGATAGAAATATTCTTCAGGTCAAACCAAAGCTACCATGAATATTTTATGTAGTACTGGTACTAAGATATATGTAAACATAAATGGAGACAAACCACAGAAAACTTTTATGGTACTCTGGATATTGACCTTGATATGGTACTCTGGATTTGGAGTTCTGCAAAAAGGCTCTACATTTTCCTTGCTGAAGATGTAAAAATTGTTGTCAGAAACCTACAGACTGTTAGCAATAAAAGACAAAAAGGGCAGTTTAGGCACTGGTACGTTTTTACTCTCAGACTCCTTCACAGCATCTGTGTATCCTCTTGGCAGTTCATTTATTCTGTTTATTCAAGGGTAGCAAGAATCTTCCAAGCCAAATAATAATAATAATAATAATAAAAGTTGCACACAACTATTACTCTGGATTCCATGTGCTTCAAAACTCTGTTGCAGCCATCAAGATATTACAAAGCAGTAAGGACATAAAGATGAGCAAAAATTAGCAGACTGACCAGATTCTGTCTGGTATGGATGCTATGTGATAACAGTCTGCCAGTCAGACTTTTTCTTTATGTGCCTTTTCAAACTTACTTGCACTGCAACAAATGCCTACTGAGATTCAAGATCTTTCCTTTCCCCATACTGACTGCCAACATAATTCCTCTGCCAGAAGGTACTGTTCCTGGAGCAAAGTCAGCAGCATATACCTGTATCAGGCATGGGCTCATAATAACCAGCATGTTATCTTAGCAGATGATGAAGGCAGAAAGGTGCTAAGGCACTGGACAACTAATCTGAGCACATTTCTTTCTAGTTCTGCTTCTCAGAAGCTTCTGACAGAAGAATGGACACCTGGCAAAGCTGTAGTTTAAATCAACTCAGTAGTAGCAGAAGTAATTTGTAATTTAGTAATTTTAAACACCGTCTATTTCCACATAAAAGAGATAAATAGTTCACCTGGAAGAGAAACAGGTTGGGGAAAAATCATTTTTTTCCCTGTTGGAAGTGGGCACACAATTAAGTCATGTCTCATAAAAAATAAATAAATAAATAAATAAATAAATAAAAGGGAAACAGATCAGCAGTAATAATCCTGCTGCAAACCTGTTCACACCACTGCTGGGGAAGTGGTCAGCAGTAACAATTCTGATGCAGAACTATGCATACCACTGATAGTGAGAGGATGTGGGATGGCTATACAGTATAGATGCCCAGCACAGGGGGAGCCAAGCTGTCTTTAGAGCCTACCTACAGAAATCACAGCTTGAAAAGGAACAGGAGTAGTGCAGAATTTGAGAAAATTGTGATGGAATTTTATTTCTGAAGGAAGAAAAACAGACATTGCTGTGTTCCTTTCTGCCTCCCTCTTCTTGTCTATAGTACATTAATTTTCCAGAGGAAAGAAAAGAAAGCAGTCTCCCTCCACAGCAATCTGAGATCTCTGCCTAAGCTGATAGTGGCACGGACTTTAAGAGTCTTGGATTCTTCCTTTATGCCCACTGAGGAGGGAAGAATCTTAATTTATTGGCAGGAACCAACAAGTCCCAAGAGCAGAAAATAATTTTGAAGCAATATTGTTATGTAAAATGAAAAATAGATGGGGAAAAGAAAAAAAAAAAAAAAGTTGGCTATTGAGCAATATACTAGTTAATAAGAAACTTCAATTTTTGTTTCTTTTGAATGACACATCAAAAGAGTGTACACAGCTGGCTGACTATTACTCAAAAACCATGTTTTATTAACTGGATGAGTAACTTTTTCTGACTTTTAATACTTTGACAGGACCATTTTAAACATACTCTTCTTTCAGGACATTCCAAATATACAACAATAAAGTGAAAACAATTTTCATATTGCATCAACAGATTATGCATACCACCTTGTGCATTTAGGTTGAGTAATTTATGTAATGGTTTGTCTCCCATCAATGCAGTAACTAAATTATTTCAAAAAGCAGATTATACACAAAGTACTGGGGAAAAATGGATTTTTGTTTGTTGATCAGATGAAGCAATAAATAATTACACTACAATGGATTGACTGGTATTTCACCATTCAAGCTTTATTTTTCCTGTTAGCTACTTCAGCTCTAAGGATTTCTACATAAAATTTCTGCACATCAAAGCACAGACTAATAAGACAGAAGCCACGTCCCAGCTCCCTGTGCGCTCTGAGCTAATGGGAAGACACAAACTAGAGGTTGCCTTTGACAGGTTGCATTTAACAAGTACTGCCTACTTTCCCATTTGTGATCTCCTCATCTCACTCCTGTCTCTCCTCACCATATTTTTATCTTAATATAAGCCTTAACATGACATAAGCCCAGTTGTGGTCAGCACAGACTATGCTCAGGTACCTAGCAGAAGATATGTGATATGTCCCTCTGGGTTACATGCTGTACATCTAGCATGGGTTACACGGGTTACTCTGACATTACACTCAATAGATACCTAGACACCTGCAATTTCTGGAAGTAACCATGTGTCGAGAGAACCAGACTCCATCCCAACATTTTTGTAACAAAATACAGCCATTTGCCAGATGTTGGGAAGATGTATAGTCATTTTACTGTGCAACCACATCATTCCTTCAGAGGGACACTCAGGTAAAGGATGCTTTGAAGTTTCATAGAATAAAATCATGTTCAGGGCAGCTGAGAAGCAAAGGTTATTGTGGTTTCTAGTATGAGCCCTCTGAAGAGTTGCCCCTCTTGCTCTTAGCTACTTGAGGAGAGAATGGTACATGCATATTTCATCTGTTTACATCACAGAGAGATGAAGTTGTATCAGGAGATGTAATGCTCTGAACAGAGTGGCATGCGTCCAGAAAATTCAGAAGTGATGACAAAAGTTTGCTAAATAAACCAGCAGACATGGAAAAACAGAATCCTTTGACCCCAGATGCACACTCCTGTCAGGAAGCTTTTATCATTTACTTTGGATTAAAATTGGCAGAGAAGGCTCTCCCACCAGACTATTTCACCATCTGTTTGTGAAAATATCCAGAGTATTTTTGCCTTCACCTATTAACAAGAGGTATAAGGAAGCTCTGCTTTTCCACATTAATCCTAGGTATTGCTCTTCTCACACACATTAAGAGCTGGATTTTCAGAACCAAAACATGTGGCCTGAAAGAGGAAAAAAGAAAATCAGTGTAAATGTTGTTGCTCATGGTAAGATGCAGCAGTTTACTGTGTCTTAAAATTTAGCTCTCTTTTTGGTATATCCCAGTTAGTACAATATTAACAAGAACGACTTTTGGAAAAAAAAAAAAAAAAGAAAAAAAAAAAAGACCAAACACTTTGAACACATTGAACGTGTCAGACATTTGATGACAGAAGCTGTCAAAAACAGACACCAGGCTTTTGCTGCCTCTATAGATGGATGTTCACTACTATCATCTATGACCTCAGCCCTTTTCAAAGAAAAACACTGCATAAGACTGATGATCTCATCTCAATGAAACCAAAACTCTAGGCATATTTGATAATGTACCAAGTCACTAAACTTGGAGCACATGAGCCTGTTCCTCCTGGTCTTAAATTCATTGGCCTTATCTCCCTCCCCTCCTCCCCCCCCCCCCCCCCCCCACCTTTTTTTCCCTTATAGTTTAATCTTTGTTTTCTGTTGGTCAAGGTATTTCCTAATTTAAAGGAACAAGTAAGTAGGAAAAGGTATGTAAATCACAAATATTTGTACTCTCTTTGTGTGTACTTATTGTATTAATCTTTTAATTATAGCTGAGCTTTAAAATTACATATTAATCCAGATTCTTCCTCCTCATGTTAAAGTGTCCTGGTTGTAAGATATTGGCTTTCTCACTCTTCCACACATGTAAGTTTAGCTCTGCCCTTTATATGCATCACTTCCATTCACAACTTCTCCACAGCTTTGAGCTCCTGTATGATGCTTCCTGCAAATCATGTATGGAGAAGCACACAGTAAACTCCAACTGTTTGCTAGGCAGTATAGATATAAAACCAGGAATTATTTCCTGTAATCTGGAGGCCAGCTAGATTCACAGCCTTCTTGATTATGACAGCTAGAAAAAGTTGTGGTACTAATTGAAAAAGCATGTACATTAGATTAATCTTGACATTTACTTTACTGTAAAACACAACTCAGATAAAAAAAATCCATGCATTAAAAAGTCAAGAAATACAAGTAATCAGTGTGACCATTTCAGACATAAAAAATGTCTGAGATTCTGTACAACAGTGCAAATGGTAAGGAAAGGGGGTTTTAAACACACAATAAGTGAATTCGCCCAAGACAGCAATTGTAACAATTATTCATGAAGTGGCAGAAACCATCTGTCAAGGACCAAGAATTCCCTGTGGAAGGCAGGGTACAATGTATAAATGTATTACACATTTATCTATATCTATCCATATATGATTATATATATATCTACACATCTATCTACCTTTGTCTATGAAATATTTATATTTAGGAACATATAAAAAATGTTTCATAGATTTTTGATTCTGGTCTGAATTGTTACATGTAAAATATAAAAGTTGCCTACAAGGCTTTGCAGTATCTTGTGCTCTCCTCCCCTACAGAACTCCTGAAGGGTGCAAGTTTTCTGCTGAGGCAGTCACAGAAGAATGATAATCCACTATGCAAACTTTAAAATGTTTAGACACCCTTCTCTACCTTCTGGCTATCTCCACTGTGATTTTTTTTTTTCTTTTGCACTGAGTGATGAGGCAGGTAAAAAGGTTTATCTTATTTCATCAATCTGTTCATCAACCAACCAATTGTAGAACACTTATAAGAAATAAATGAATACATACATACATACATAAAGCATGGTACTGAATGCACTAAGATGAAACTTACCTTAAAAATAAACATCAGTATGCAAATGCCCTCCAAAAGTGTCTTTTATCACAAATTGTGGAGGGAACATCCTGTCCATTAAATAAATAAATAAATAAATAAATTAGTTAATCTGTGAATTAGAATTTACTTTCCCTTTTTATATTATACAGGTATTTTACCTCAAGATTTGAAGGACATAGAAATTGTAAATCCACTGTGAATCTATGCCCTTACTATGAATCTAATTAGCAGCATAAAAAGTCTTACTGTTACCTGATTTGATTCTGAATCACTTTGGGTGTAGTACAATTGAATCATTAGTGTCTGTGCCATATTATTCCTGTTTTGGAATATGTAGTCAGAAATATCAGAACAGCTCTCACCCCCAGAACACATTTCAAAATACGGACTTCTCAGACAGCTGTCAGATGCAGCCTGGTCTGAGCTCCACAGATGAAGAAGGAAGCCTGTGAAATCTAAATAAGTAGGATATTGACTTAGCTTACTACAAAGCGAGCACAGGAAATTCTTTCAAACAACATGCAAGTAAAAATAACCAGTAAGTAGCAGGAAAATGTTGGCTTCTTTCTTTCATGCTGATCCATTGTAAGCATTACTCCAGTCACCCCTTATTGTTAAATTGAAAAAATACTGCTCTTATATTACTTTCCTCAACAGAGAAAAGAAGAGTCTGTAGCAAAACAGGCAACACAGGCACTTGTCAGCAAATCTCAAACTGCAGGCTGTTCATCATGAAGTCATGATCTGATCTGGTCAAGTGCCACTGTAGAATGCATTAAGTTTTGCCCTCACCCGTTACCTCCTTCATCACTTTAGAAGGTGAAATGAAACCTTTTCAAGATAAAAAAAAAAATGTACAATTAGAGATATGATGCAAAACATGATCTAGAAAATAAAATTCTGAACATTCTCCAGTGTAACTTCTCCAACTTCCAGATACTACAAATGGAACTGGCTGGGAATCTGGCAGTGACTTTTGTTTTTCTTTCCCCCCTTTAGAAAATGCTTCTTGGTTCCAAAGGGAGATGAAAAGCCATAAAACCTGACTGCTTCATCCAATACAGTGTTGCAAGTCTCTTCTAACAGACAACAGGAAGACTCCATTATATCAGTCAACAATGAGGTTACTCAATCCACTAAGGGATAAAAAAAAGAGACCTCAGTTTATGCACAACTGAATCATTAACCTTTTCTACAAAGCCAAACTTTTCATAAAGAAGATTTACAACTGGTGCTTGTCAAAAAGTTTCAGTGTTTAGGATTTCCTTGGGCTGTGGAAACTGAAAATTTCAGTATACATACACTTAAGCTTCAGTCTCTCATTTCAGAGGTGGATTGTCTAATATTTTTGGGCTTCTATTTGTGACTAGACAGAGAAAAGAATTTGAAAACAACATTTTATATCTGAAACAAATTCATATTCCAAGATAAATTGAGCCCAGACTGAAATTCACTTTGCAACTCCACATGGAAAAGTAGGAAAAACAAAACAAGACAAATCCTTCAGCACTCACTGAATACAGGCTGTAAGAGAACTAGAGAGTATATCTGAATTCAGATCACTGCCCCAGACAATTTCAATTACAGATAAACCATATTGACAGATCCCACAGCTTTCAAGACAATATGCATTTAGATATAACTATGCTTACATCCTTTTCTTAACATCAGATCTATCCATCAGTTATTGCCTTCTTCTAACATATTTCAAAACTGTTACCGTATATCCAAATTTAGCCCTCATGAGATGATACAAACCCATGTCCTTCAGTACTTCCCTTTTAAATCTCTGATGACCATTATTACTCATCCTTTAGACTTTTTCCAGGAAAGACATATGCTAATTTAGTGTGACATCAGAAGCTAAATAGAGTGGTTTGGTTGAAACCTTACCAATATAAAGCAGAACAGTTATTTTCTATGTCTAATCTAGAACACTCTTTCACACAGATCAACTTGAAGCTCAGTGGGCTGAAGGCGTTTGCAGCTGGATGACATTCTTGGGTGTTCTGGGTGTCCAGTGGCTGCATTGTAGGTACCTCTAAATAGCATACAGTACCTATAAACCCCTACTTTCAAATCTCCTGCGGGCTGATGGGGGAGAAAAATGAGGGAATAAATCATTCTGTTAAAAAGATGTCATTTCCCCCCCAACATGCTGTCTTTTGTAAATTGTCACTGTGTTGGGAGTGCAGTACTGTACTGGGATGGAGTTAATTCTTTTCACAGCAGCCCATACAGTGCTGTGTTTTATATCCGTGACCAAAGCAATGCTTTATAATGTAGCAATGCTATCAAGCAGTGTACCAGGTCACAGGTTTAGCTCATGGGTAGTAATGTAAAGTTCTGTCAACAACTGAACTCAGGAGGAATAACTTTCTTGTGTATTTCATTCTTAGTAGCTTTTCTCACGTAGAATAAGAGAAATAAAAAATAATAATAATAATAATAATACTCAAAAAGTCCTCAGAAATAACTGCTTGAGATGGTTATGGAGTATAGGAATTGCCGATAATGTTTTTCATGAAAGGCACAGCAATCATATCTTTTTGTATAACCTGGTCTCCAAAGATTTGGTACAGAACTCTTCTTTGCTGGGCATCACCTTCAGTACACATTGAAACAACAGGATATTAAGGCTTGTTGTGGTTTGACCCCAGTAGGATGCTTAGCGCCACACAGCTGCTTGTTCACTCCCTGTCATTGAGATAGGGAGGAGAAAAGGACAAGTAAAAGTGAGAAAAAGTGTGGGCTGATATAAAGACAGTTAACTAGGTAAAGCCAAAGATGCACGTGCAAGCAATATGAAATAAGGAATTCATTTGCTACTTCCCACTGGTGAGCAGGTGTTCAGCCATTTCCAGGAAAGCAGGACCCAGCACACAGAATGGTTACTTCTGTACTATATTTACCACAGTGAAATTTCGCATAATACTTAATTCAGCAATGATACCTCAGAGCTGCAACTTTTGACAAAAGCTGTTCCACACCACTTATAATTTAAGAAGACACATTCTTTAAAATAATAATAAGTAAAAATAATAAATAAAGCTAATTTTTAAAAATCAGAAAGTAGACTCCCCCCCAGAGGACATAGGACATTATAAATCTTATTAAGAACAATTTTAAGTCTACATGTATTTGACAAGTTGATGCCATCTCTTTCAGAGTTATTTTAAAAGTGGTGATACAGTTCTAAACCATCAGTATCATAGAGTCATAGAATTATAGAACCGTAGAATGGCTCAGATTAGAAGGGACTTTAAAGACCTGGTTCCAGCCCCCCTGCCAAGGGCAGGGACACCTCCCACCAGATCAGGTTACTCAAAGCCCCATCCAGCCTGGTCATGAACACTTCCAGGGATAGGGCAGCAACAGCTTCTCTGGGCAACCTGTTCCAGTGCCTCACCACCTTCAAAGTAAAGAATTTCTTTCCAATAGCTAGACTAAACCTACATTCTTTTTGTTTAAAACCTTCCATCCTTTTCCTATCAATTTTATGATAGGACATGTTTTTTTATAAGGCCCCTTTAAATATTGAAAAGCTGCAGTGAAGTCATCCCAGCCTTCTCCATGTCTGTCATTACCAGTTCCCCCTCCTCATCCATCAGATGGGACACGCTCTCCTTGGCCTTTCCTTTCTGGCCAATGTGCCTGTAGAATCCCTCATTGTTACTCTTTGCATCCCTTGCCAGGCTCAGATCCATCAGTGCCTTGGCTTTCCTGATCCCACCCCTGCACATCTGAACAGTATCCCTGTCCTCTTTGCCAGGCTCACATTCCTCAAGACCACAAACTCAGCCAGGCATGGTCACTGCAGCCCAGACTACCTCAGATCTTAACCTCTTTAATGAGTTCATCTGCATTGGTGAGCACCAGGTCCAGTAACACTGGTTGGTTTGCTTAAGACCTGGACAAGGAAGTTGTCCTCAGTGCATTCCAGGAGTGTCCTGGGTTGCTCACAGCCTGCTGTGTGGCTTTCCTAGAAGACATGTGGGTGGTTGAAGTCCCCCATCAGGATGAGAGAGTGTGAGTGTGACGCTTCTTGTAGTTGAAGACAGAAGGCCTCATCAATGGGCTCCCCTTGATCAAGGGGCCTGCAGTAGACCCCATCCACAAGGTGCCCTTTATTGTTCTTGTCTTTAACTTTTACCCACAAATTTAGGAACTACTTTTTGCCTTGGTCAAAAAAAATAAAATAAAATAAAATAAAAGTCTAAATTGCCATATCACATTATGTATTCCTCAATTTTCCAGTTACGCTTGGGATAACAAAATGCTTCTGGTACATCACTCCTAACACAGAGAACTGAGGGATCTGTAACATCCAGGCCAATAGGACGGGAGTAGGTCATGATTACTCTGTGATGGCCTAGAGGTCTTCTAAAAGCTGCAGAGGTGACTATTAGGCTATGCACCATACTGACAAGTTTTCCACTGGCCAATAGCCAAAACTGGGGGGGGGGGGGGGAGGGGGGTACATGTTTTTGTCATCATGAGAAGCCTTCTACATAGCAGTCAGGGTTTTTTTGGTGCCTTTTGGCTCTTCCCAAGAAACTTCCAAAATTATGAATTCAGCAAGAATCCAAGTCACAAGGAGGGCAAAATTCCTTTTTTACAGCCCACTGTGTCATTGGCTACAAACAAGCACATCTCAAAAAAAAGCCAGGTTAACACAGGGGGAGGGAGAAAAAAGAAGAAGAAAAAAAAGGAAATTTAGTATCTTGCCCCCTTCCCAGAGAAATGAAATACCTTATAATCAGGAGCAGCTGTTATTTGATCAGGTCTGCTGCTAGCACCAGTGCAGCTCTCTGCTGGCATTGCTGGCAGCTGGTTTGGCTGACACATCAGCCTCTGAACAGCTCTTGGAAGCCATTTATCATCACTTCAGGAAAACAGAGGACTCAAAACTCAGGGAAGGGCTCACGCACTGCTTGTAAGCTCTGTGCCAGGCAGTAAAAGCAGTGCAGCTGTGACTGATGAGCACTTCCCTGCGCACACGCTTGCTCACTCCCATTTCATATCTAGTGACTCATTCTAAATATTCTCTCCTACGTGCTTGTTAGCAGTGCCTATCTCAGCAGGTGGCCTTGGCTTCCCGGTGATCTCCACCAGAAGATCTGCGTGCACCAGGTGCTGGATAAACCTGCCTCCATGCCCATCGTTTGGGGATGTGTGCATGGCAAGGACACCACTCTGTGCTCTCCAGCCTCCTCTCTGGGCTGTTTGTCACAGCTGACCCATGAGAAAGCCCATCCCCAGCTGCTAGTGAGGGTCACTGTTGGAACTGCCAACTGTTTTCAGTTCCTGAAAAATATTTTTTTTTTCCTCCTCAGGAACGTAATACATCATGGGAAAGAAATCATGCCACTCTCTCACCTACCCAACACACTCCACCATCCTTCCAAGTTTATATTATTCCCCTCTTCCTTTATCTCACACAACCTACATGGGCAGTTTTTGTGCTTACCTGCCACACTTAGATAATAGACCTAGGTAGACCTACAGCAGTTTTTGGCAGTATCAGCAGACTGGTGGCTGAAAAGTGGATTCCAACATCTAGAGCTAAACATCAAGCTACCTCACACATTAAAATGTACAGAAAAATAAATAAATAAAATAGCAATAGAGCTGGTCTGAGCATGGAGTCCTGTAGGCCAGCACAGGCTGTGTTTCTCACTAGCACTGTGTGCTAGTGCTTTCAGAAGAAAACACTTCTTCGCTCAATAGAAGTGGGTCTGCCTTAATGTGAACAAAGAATGAGTTGTACAGCTCTTGAGGTCTTTATAGATTTAACATTTTTAACTGGGAGGTGGTTCTGATCTTCCCATTGGTCTGTTTTCCTGCCCACCTTTAATCTACGGGCAAGCTGTCAAACTGTTGCAAGATTTAAGTGTTTTTTTTCTGCTCTGGCAGTGTTTGGACTGTGTACGGTCCCTCCTCAGATGCTGAATCTTGCATTTTGCATAGAACATATACTAAAATTCAAACCTCACATGATCATCAAGACTGGATTTATTATGCAAGTTGTTACCAGCTTGTAATGAAGAAGAAATATGGCAATAATCAACACATTTAAGTTCCTAATAGGCGTGGAGGAGCTGATGACTGGGCTGCTTTTTACAGGATGTTCTATACATAGATTTACGACAGGGCTACAGGGAAGGCACTTTCCTGGAGCAGATGTAGCTGTGATACAAGGGGGAGCTGGTGCAATCACACGGGTCACACAAAACTGAGCAGCAGTGGGACAAGTTTACACAGCAGGTGGCCAAAGAGAGTCTGGGACAGCAACTGCACTTTCTTTACACCCTTCCTGCATCCACCGCAATGTCTTAATTAACTGGGTAATACACTAATGTTATCATTAAGAGATTTATGAGAAGGTAACAACAGAATTAAATATTTAGGAGAAGTTGCTGTATAAAGAGAAATCCTGTACAGCATCATACTTGGAAATTTATTCACTGCTGTGAAGCAATTTAATGACCACCACCATAAGCTGAATAAATTACCATATTTTTCTCACAGAACTGAGCTGGCATACAACTCTTTGGGTTTCCACTCCATCAGTAGATTGAAGCAACACCAAAAATTCAGACATTTAAATCCCTCCCCCACCATTATGGCCCTTGTGACAGATGTTCCAGATCTCCCCAGGAGTCCTGCAAATTGTGTTTACCACCCCTTCCTTCTTTAAACTTCCAAGTAGCATCTCCATAAAAATCAGTAAGTACAAACAACAGTGTAATTTAAGAGTAATTACAAGCATACATATCTTTCTGTACAATATACCCAGATGTGGAACAGTAACTTTTACCATGTGCTGGAATGAAGCAACTGTGAGAAACATGATACAGGAACTCTGAAGTCCAGCATACAAGTCCGGATGCATGAAACTCATACAAAAATGTATGGTTAGTGAGACAGCATTGTTTGAAATTTCAGAGTGCAATGAAAGATAACATCTTCCAGCATTGGAAAAACCCAGTACATCAGAGGAAGGAATGTTCCATCTAATAGAGAACAGGTGAAAACAGGGAGACATCAAGAAGAACTCACTTTATGGATCAAACTTCCTGCAGCCCCTATGTGGTAAGCGAAAATAATTAATGCCACCATCATGTTTCATGCAATCTTGGTTTTATAATGCATGGTCAATTCTATCTGCCTCAGTCACTGCAAGATATTTCAACCTGCTAGGAATATTTGAAAATACAATGACAAAAAATAGATCACCACTGGATGTACAGTAAGTTCTGCAGACAAAGGCTCTAGGATGAGATGTTAGTGTTTAGAGAAAGAAGAGTTTTTGTTTAACACCAAATATTCTGATATAATTTAGTAGTTTACTGATTATTTGAGAACAGAGGAGCATAAGTACACTGTGTTATTCTGTTGAAACAGTAATTAGGTGTCTGTAGACAATAGATTGCGTGTCAGTTTATGTAAGGAGCTTAACTTTCCCTGTAGGTGCAAGTACCCAAACACATTTTTCTGTTCCCAACAACAGATTTTTCATATATGGTCAAAATTATTTCCTTTATTCCAGCTCCTGTTCCTGTCTCAGCCAAAACCAGATTTGCTCATAAACATAACACCACTGCTCTGAAGTAGGAATCCACTGGTTTCTCTCTGTAATACGTTTGTCTGGTTAAGATAAAATTGATACACTTTTTAGCTCAGCAATTCAGAACCATATAACCTATATATACCCCTTCCTGGAGACCAGAACCTGCTGTGCCAATATTCATCTACATGAAACAGAAGAAAACAAGCTATAAATACAGTGTGGAAAGAATAGACCTCTCACACTCACGCCAATTTAGTATTCTATGATATTCAGGGCAAACAACAAGTTACTAAAGAGGTGTGGGAATTTTGCTAAAAGAACAGCCTTTGGTATGCAGTGACTCCCTCATTTCTTCCTGTAATTTTGTTATAGCCCAAGTTAAAGAACCAGCAAATTAATGTATCATCTTGCCAAACTTGCAGCTAAGGATGGAATCCTAATTTATTTTTTAAGCTCTTTAGTGAACAGCAAGTCTTTCATTTCCATATATATTGACAGAATCTGAGTGGAAGTGTTAATATTTATACAAGTTATCGCACAATTTTAAAAAAGATCAAGAAAGCAAAAAAGAATGCTAAAAGAAAAAAGAATGTTTTTGATGTGCATGACAGACATAATTGGTCCCACTGATTTAGGAATGATGCCAAACAGCCCTGAGCACTATTCACTGGCACCATCCCTGTTAGCTATTCACAAATACAAAGCAGGTTTCAAGTGGTGCAGGATGACAGGAATCAGAGAAATAAATCCATTAGAACAAAACTGAAATTTGAAATGCATGACAAAAACCAGTTACAGCTATGAGTTATGGTGTTGTCTGTGAGGGTCAGCTCTACGTGAAGGACCTCAATAGGTTTGCCTATTGGTTTAACTGTGGCCCTTTCATCCAGTGAGCACACCAGAATACACAGTGGTACAGGACGGAATTAAAAGTGAGTGGTGAATCAACAATCTGAGTCATCTATGTTCAAAATAAACCTCCTTGTTTACAAAATAATAATAAAAAAATACATCATGCATAGTCTTCAACATCTTCCAAGAGAGTGTGTCCTCACCTCCCCAGCCCTGTTCCCTATAGCTCCCATGCTGCCGCTGCACTGAGCTCTGTTGTCAAGGATCACTCCATTCCTGCTTCCCATCTTGACACAAACTGCAATAAATTACTTCAGCCATCCTGATGTCCCTTGGAGAGACAACACACTAGGACAAAAGCAATCTAGAAGGTGCCTGGAGTTCATTGATAACCTCTTCCTCACAGTAACAGAGGAGCCAACAAGGAGAGGTTCTGTGCTGGACCTCATACTCACCAACAATGAGGAGCTTGTTGGGAATGTGAAGGGTGAAGCCAGCCTTGGCTGCAGTGATCATGAGATGGTGGAGTTCAGGATCTTTGAGGCAGGGAGAACAGTGAAAAACAATCTCACAGCCCTGGAATTCAGGAGAGCAGACTCTGGTCTCTTCAAAGTTCTGCTTGGAAGAGTCCCAGGGGGTAAGGCTGAAGAGGGGCTCAAGAAAGCTGATTATTGTTCAAGGATCACCTGCTCCCAGCTCAGGAGACATCTACCCCATTGAACAGAAGGCCAGTCAAAAATGCTGGGAGGCCTGAGTAGATAACAATGAGCTCCTGGACAAACTCAAAAATACAGAGGGTGGAAGCATGGACAGACAACCTGGGAGGAATACAAAGACATTGTCTGAGCATCCAGGGATAAAGCTAGGAAAGCTAAAGCTCAGATGGAATTGAATCAGGCCAGGGATGTCAAAGATAACAAGAAGAGCTTCTCTAAGTACATTAGCAACACAAGACTAGGTCAAGTGTGGGACCCCTATTGAAAGAAATGGAAGACCTTCTTACTTAGGACAAGGAAAAGGCTGAGGGAGTGAAGGCCTTCCTTTCCCCAGCCTTTACCTGCAAGAATACCCCTCAGGAATCCCAGCTTCCACAGACCAGGGAGAAAGGCTGGAGCAAGGAAGATGTCCTCTAGATGGAAGAGGATCAGGTCAGGGAATACACAAGCGAACTCAGAACAGGTAAGTCCATGCCCCTGATGGGATGCATCCATAGATGCTGAGGGGCCTGGCAGATGTTGTTGCGAGGCCACTTGCAATAATCCTTGGTTGACCATGGTGAGTGGGAGAAGCGTCCAGAGACTGGAGGAAAGCAAATGTCACTCCTCTCTTCCAGAAGGGTGGGAAGGAAGATGTGGGGAACCACACGGCAGTCAGCCTCACCTTGAACCCCAGGAAGATAGAGCATCTGATCCTGCAAACCATTGGCAGGTGCATGAATGACATGCAGTACAGAAGTGAAATTAAGTGCAAGTACGAATCAAGAGATGCACAGAATTTCACTAAAGGTATGTTAGTATACAA